CATACAGAAGAGTGGGATGACCCTCGTCGAACGGAATAGCACACCGACGCTGGACAGCCACATTCCACCACCTCATCTACAGAAGACGTTTTCGCACAGTCGACATGACAAGTACTTTTTGCAGAGCCATGAAAGCACACACTCAACCTACCACGGTCATTCTGAATACGAGCTGAATAGAAGTGCAAGACAGAAGCTCATCCAAGCTTACCGCACCGTCCCAGATCCGAGGTTCAGATCAGTCCGAGCCACCCGCCAACACAAGTCTTAGACAAAAGCTCATCCATGCCTACCAGTCTGTGGTTCGGATCAATGCGAGCAACCGCCCCGGAACGATAGACATTAAATGGGATGTTGTGCGACCGTCCGTGGCTCGGATTAATCCGAGCCACCGCCCAGCGACCTCGCCTCACTCGGAGGGATGTGGCAGAAGGATGAGACACCCCTGGAATCGAAATCGGACCCAGTAGGAAGCAACACGTCCTTTCCGATGTTTGCCTTACTGCCCCATGTGCAAAAAAACAAAAGCCAAGTTGGCAGATAAATCAGACTCAATCGCCGTCGAGCTATGAGGTTCGGATTTATTATTCGGACCACAGCAAACGGTTTCAGTCAGGCGGTACCTAGGCGTCCTTCGAAGTGTTCACATTTCGCCTCTCGGAAGGACAAATAAACAACGAATGCCATGAGTGCCCACCATAGGTTATTGTATGTTGCATTCAGGATGCGTGGCGTGTGCCGCCGTTTTCCTTTACTGATGAGACCTCCCGTCACTGGGCGTGATACTCACCTCGGAACTCCCGATGCGGTGAGGGATGTGGTTCGGATTGATCCGAGCTATATCACACGTTTAGGAGTGACGCGGAACTTATATGTCCTATGTGAGTATTGCACAACCCAATTCGGAATACATAAACACTGACAAAAGCCACGCCTGTCGTCCGTCAGTCGTCTGTGGTTGTGGTTCGGATTCATCCGAGCTACAAACAAAAAAGCTATCGGAGTCATGATTTCTGGAGATGTTTACTTCGAAGCGATCCCCTGTGTCGTCGTTGTCCCTTCCACTGAGACATCGGAGGGATGCGGTTCCCGTTGAGACTTCCCACGAGCCGAGGGTTGTGGTTCGGATTCATCCGGACTACATCACACGTTCCGTAGTGAGGCGAAACAAAAAACGTCCAACCTGAGAATTGCATAACCCCTCGTGGGAGACAAAGAACACCGACGGAAGTCATGAGTGGCGGGTTGTCATGGAAAGGGGGCCGCCTAAAAACTCTCGATGGGGGAACGTTTTGTGTAAACAATGGGTCGGATGCAAGGCGGGCATAGTCATCCAACCACTGCCATCGCAAATGACATCTACTATTGCCTTCATCCCGAGATCAGATGAATCTGAACTCCATCTGGAACAAGTGGCACGAACAGCACTCTCTCACTCCCTCTGCAATCCCGAGAACGTCTCCCTAAGCTGCTCTGGAAAACAAGGCTGCGATTAATTGGAATCAAAATGTGATCGGCGTGGATCGAGAGCTGATCGTTCCACGAGGTCATTGTGCGTTCATTCAGCTCAGATTTCGAGATTGCAATCGTCGCGAGGATTGTCCACGTAAGAGTTCGCCCAAAATGAATCGTGGCGAGGGGACGGGCTGCCGCACGGGCGGCAGTGCTGTGGAGTTTTCCTGTGGGCGAGATGGAACTTTTGAGCGCTAATTCCATATCCAAAATGTTGCCAATGCGTGTCCGGCGTTTCGCGCCCAGTTGTGTGGCAGTTCCTCATTGCTAGTTGTGTGTGCGAGAACGGGCGATGAGACAGGGAACAGTCAAGACAACAAGAAAAAGATCCTTATGTCGTCCACAACCGCGATAGACATGTTCCATCATCGAGTCGATCAGAAACGAGCTCGAAGTTGGCACTTGGCGGTGGGATGTCGCGGGATCGGTGGTAGTCTGGGATGTTTCAGGTTCGCCATGGGTATCCTTTGTGCGCAACGGGTCGTCGCTGAACGTTGTGGATGGGTGGCTTGGCCACTGTTGGCTGTGAGTGCGACACGGGCGATTCCTGTTGGAGGTGCGCGTTTGTCGTGAGGCTTCCAGCTATCAGCGCTGCGATAACAGATCGTCTGATAGACGTCAACACCGGAGATGGATGGACGGGATCTTAAAGTCGATCGACACGCATTTTTCAGATGACATCTCCGGTGTTGACGTCTATCGGGTGATGTGTTATCGCAGCAGTGATCACATACCGTGATTTTGAGGACGCCAGGGAGCAACGGCGGTGAAACTTCGTCCACGCGTCAGATGCGGTTGACGGTCTTGACTGCGAAAGCCGCAGACCATTTCGAATTCCAGACGTCATGCGCAAGATGGTGACGTCAGCGTGTGTCAGTGGAAGGGAACTTTCGTGGTTGTGAGCAGCGGACATCGTGGGCTGAAGATCGCGCGCATGTCGACTCGTGCGTGATGGACGGAGCAGGCGGTGATGTAGAAGAATACTGGCACGACCGACTGCATTGCGATATCCTAAGTAGACTGGGGGAGGACGACCCGCGAGCCAGGGTCCAAGAAAGTGTACCAACAAGCGATGTCGAGCACGCCAAGACTCAAGGGCGATGCGACTTTCTCCACGCGTCAGATGCGGTCGATGGAGGGCGCCAAGACTAGAGGGCGATGTTGAGGACGCCAACAAGCGATGGTGAGGACGCCAACAAGTGATGTCGAGGACGCAAACAAGCGATGTTGAGGACGCCTGAACTCGAGGCCGATGACTGTGAAAGCCGCAAGCCATTGCCCGTCGCTGACGTCATGTGCAAGATGATGACGTCAACATGTGTCATTGCACGGGGTCTTCCGTCGTTGTGATCGGTGGGGATCGTGCATTCAAGATCTTGCGCGCGCGATTGGCGAAGTAGGTGGTGGCAGAGAACAAGACTTGCACGGTCGAAGGAGCGGAAGGGCAATGGGAAGAGGTGGGGGCTTGAAATGGTGAAGGGGTCGAGCAGCGGGCGTGGGCTTCTAGCTGACCTGCGCGTTGACAAACGCCTCCAGCCAACACAAGAAAGCACAGCGCGAACGGGACGACACGCAAGATCTATAGTCGCGTGACGTTTTCGTTAGCGCCCCCGGCTATCGACGATTGCTGGAAGATTGAGGGCATTGATGCGCAAGCGGCTTGCGATATAATGCAGGCAACTTCGAGCGATGGCGGACACGTCGCAAAGGCACCACACGGAAGAAATGACACCAGCGAACGGGTGTGACAGCCACCCCCATTCGTTTGGTGCCCGACAAGAGAACGGAGAGTGCAGTGAGTGGGGCTTGAGGGGCCCTTCAATTGCCCGCCGCAGGTACTGCCACGTCGGGGGCTGTAAACAACTGACCTTTTTTCACCGTGCTATCAACGGTCCCAACGCATCATCTGGCGCAAATTTTCCCGCCTACTTTTGAATATCGGGGCCCGCGCGGATTTTACCGTGATATCAAAGGTTCTAACGCGTCATCCTGCGTGACTTTTCCTGCCCACTTTCGTTTCTTGGGCCCGGCTCGGATGTATCCGCCATTCGAATGACGGTGGCGCCATTCCACGAATTTGCAGGTGGGCATTACAATCGTCTGAAGCAGCAGGCAACCGCAAGTGTCGCCAACCCTCACGGTCGAAAATGCCCGTCGCACGCCCGGACCACCCGCCCTTGCCAGCGACACAGCCATCTCGTCGCCGGGGGACACAGCCATCTCGTGGCTGTCTCCCCCGCCGTTTGCCTCGCTTCTCTCTCTCTCCCTCGTCGCCATATCCCTCGCCTCGCCATCTCCTTCGCGTCGCAATCTCCCACGTCTCCATTCGCGGTTTTGCCCTTTCACACGTCGGCACCTCCCTTTTCGCGCGTCGCGGCACGTGTCGTCATATTGCGGTTTGGGATCATCAACCAAGTCGCCGGGGCCATTGTTTCCAACAACAGTTGTAAATCGAAGAAAGAAAAGGTGCGTTCTCTCTCTCATTCTATCTCCCTTTCTCATCTCTCTCTGTCTCACTCCCCGTCTCTCTCTCTCTATTTGGCTCTGCCTCTCTCTCTCTCTCTCTCTCTCTCTCTCTCTCTCTCTCTCTCTCTCTCTCTCTCT